CAGCAATCATGAAATAAGYTTTTGATTATTGGAGAAATTGGCCTGTTTAAGGGACTGGTTGATAAGAGTCCCTTAGGAGGCAGAACTGAACTGCCTCAGGGTAGGAAGGCTCTCCAGWGGGATCTGGACAGGCTTCAKCAATGAGCCAAGGCCACTTCTGTGAGGTTCAACAGTGCCAGGTTTAGATTGGCTGTTAGGGAAAATTTCTTCACTGAAAGGGCTGTCAAACTTTGGGCTGCCCAGGGAAGTAGCTGAATAACCATCCCAGGAGGTATTCCAAAGATGCATAGATGGGGCACTTAGGGACATGGTTTAGGGGAGGTCTCAGCAGTGCTGGCTTAACAGTTGGACTCTACAATCTTRAAGGTCTTTTCAAACCCAAAGGATTCTGTGATTCTAAACACAGGCTCAATGGTACTGGTATATGCTGTAAAATAAAACCCCATAAWCTAATTAAGTTCAGGAGCTAGAAGAGCCTTAAATCTCTTTCTCCTGAGCCTAACTTTTCTATTACTTTGGAATAAACATCATTAACCTGCAGGACCATCTATATCTACAGAGAGAATAGAGAAAGTATCTTGCATTTAGCAGCACCTATGCACTATTACCTCAGTGTATACAATACACAAATAACATAGGAAACTTTTTGTTTTTAAACCTCCACCAGCTGGCCTGAGAATTATCCCTGCAAGCAGTAAGCTGCAGCTGGGACAGCAGGCCAGCATAGGGTGCAAGTTGTGTTCATACACAGCTACAGCCCTGGAGAAGCTGTACAGGGTGGGAAGGGGTGGCAGCTGAGGGTGCTCAGCACTGAGAAGCAGGGTACATGGCCCAGCACAGCTGGAAGCTCTGCAGGAGCACTCCTGTGGACAAAATCCTACCACAYGACAAGTAGATTTGGGAAGAAGTACCCAGAGATGCTGAAAGAGCAATTAGGTCTCTCTTGTAGAGAGGATGGGATTTGACAAACATACTTGCTGCTCACCCTGTCCTTCACTGCTGAAGGACCAGCTATCCTACACCACATCAATCTAGTCACAASTGTTCCCAGTGTGACTTAGGGGAGTAGGGAGTAACAACAATTTTGGGTAGAAGTTTCCTCTTAACCAAGGAAGAGCCACTGAGCTCTTCTGCAGCAGCTTCTGTAGTTTCCCCRGCACCAGCTTAATTCTCCATTCCCYGTGTGGCAGCTGAGAAGAGGCCAGGTCACTGTGGGMGCATTTTGCTGAGCTTTTGGGTTTCCATCTGTCTGCATAAGCACAGAAATGGTGGAAATGCTGCTTTGTGCTATCCCAAGCACATAAAGAAAACTTAGGCAGCAAGAGCAATGTGCTGATGAGGGCTCTTCACAGCAACTAACCCTGCTGTATTCAGAAGGTGACGTTGAGAGTTTATACTAGAGGAATAAACAATTGAGAACATACTGCTGGAACAAAAGGTGCTGAAACTGGCAATCTGATCAGTGATCACAGCATTTCCACTGGACTTATTCAACTTAAATATCAACTGCACTGGWGACTGCACACAGCTAAACGAAACACCAGCTTAGACATATTAGCAATCTACCTTTGGCTTACTTCAAAAGCCCTTACCTTTCTGCCAAATTCAAAACTCCACAGAAACTATGAATTTTAAAATAAGTTCAGAAGCTGATAACACAGAAACATAATGCCTTGAAATAACTCTGACTTGCAAACAAATCATTAAATGCATGACTAATTTTTCTACTTTACTAAAAAAATACTGGGCTCTTTCCCAGCGCTGCCTGAACATGACAAAATTTAATTCAATTCTTTTTTTCTCCTTACAATAACTTGGAGSAAGAGCAGACATAACCCTAGATTTTATTTTGTTTTGTTCCAGACAGACAATCAGTAAAGAATCCAGTGTTGCTGGGGGAATAAGCAATAATATCTATAAAGCCTGAAAGCTCAATCAATGCTRTTACAAACTACTGCAGAAATTTGTCTACTGCATAGTGTTACCGTAATTGGTGACAAGCTTTCTTAATAAGCAGTCTAGTCAGTGAAAGAAAATGCTGTATCTTTCTTAAATATTGCATTATAGGTTTTCAGGAGCATGAAACAGAGGAGATGAAGACAGTACTGCTCAGTTCATGCATCTGGCAGAGAGTTTATCAGAAGGCACAACACAGCTGAAACAGCACTGCTCCAGCTGTATGTGCAACCAGACTGTTGTCTTTGGGGTGCACCTCAGCAACCCCCTGTGCTCTTCAATTTTCACTGGTCTGATCGGGCTGCAGGGCCCAACCTACCATATACCTCTTTGGCAGACTTCCCAGACACAAACCCTCCCTCTATCAATTATTTGCTGAAATGGTACCCTACAACCCTGTTTCCCTCATCCTTTCCTTCCTCCACTGCTCTTGCCTGCTCTGTACAAAAATACATCAGTAAGACAAGTCCAGCTGAGTCCTRCCTTATAGGGAGGCTCAGGTCAGGACTGCATGATCAGGAGTTGGGCTTCACTGRGTTAAGCCAAGCATACGCCAACTATACTGCTAAAATATTCATGGGTTTGCACTTACGTTACATAAAAAGAATAAGAGATCACAGTTTGAGAAACTGGTGCTTACGTAGATGTATCCACCCTCTTTCCCTGTCACCCAGTACGAGTGACAGTGCACTACAGCAGCCTTGATTCACTTTCATAACGAGCTGACCAAGCCAACTGAGGCAGGATCCTTCCTTTCCTGGGACAGCACTTTGCATTTGTCCCTGTTCAACCATGAGGTCTCCATGGGTCAGCCCCCTTCTACAGCCTCTGGTGAGGTCCCTCTGCACATTCTAGACCTCAGTGGTATCACTTCTCACCCTTGCCCCAGTTTAGGGACGATAAAGATGCCACAATCTCCTCCAGGTCACCAATAAAGGTATTGGGCAGATGGTAGGGCAGACCCTGCACCAACATCAGTTGTCTCAGCAAGAGACTCCAGCAATCTCAATGAGGAATTCAGAGACTGAACATGCACCTCAGAAAAATATCTTGGGATGCTGCTAAGAGGCACTCACTGGGATTAGCAGGAGGGTCAGGAGCAGCTGCTAGGCTCCCTCAGCATAGCGTGGCCACATACCTCAGTACCTGAACTTCTTGAGCACCTTTGGCTGGTACCTCCAGAACCCAAACTGGAGAAAATACGAGCAGAAAAGCTTTGGGTACAATAGGAAACACCCTCTCATGCAACTAAAAGATGCAGCTCTTTCTGGAGGGCTCCACGAAAGCRAAAGTATCATAGATGGCTGCCAAGCTGTCCAAGGCACACACCAAGCCCTCCACCATGGCATGCAGAGCTCTGGGTAAGTATGTGTACATTCCTGCTTTCTAAAGCCTTTACCATCTCACTGCTTTCAATGTGACATCCTGATCACTAACTATTCAATGCAGATACACCTGACAGTTCCCATGCTGGGAAGGATGCCTCGGAGGGAAGAAGGATRTTACCAGGAGAAAGAACTGTAAATAAGAGTTAAATGTTCAGACAAGCACTACTCTGCAGTGTCATGCATTGTTACAGCTTTAAAAGGATATTTATTCCTTTATTTTTTCTTTTTCACTTCACAGAAAACTCAAGGGAGGGGGATTGCTACATCATTCAAGAGCACTAACAATGTTCAAACTATGCTTGAAAGCTCTTTCTCTCCTCTTGGTTTATGACYCTGCCTAGACAAGTCAGCCATGGAAAGGAGTAAATCCCTTCTCCTGAAGGGGAAACGGTACAAATGGCAGCAGGAGTCACACAGCTACATACCAGTGTGTCATGGGAAGGACCAGTGAAAACTCACTTTATTCTGGATGAGCAACAGCTGCTTCTGAGAGCAGCATGTGGTAAACACTTTGCCCTGGTGCTGTCACTTTTAAGAGCATCCAGGTGTGTTACAAGGAGTAAATACATGGTTATGCACAAGAAGTGCACGTGTACAAGACGTAGGCAGTATCTCAAATGTTACGCTGTTGGGTGGGATTTATGTAAACTTTGCAATTGGTAWGAGAAAGGCACTATGTAAAAAAAAAACCACCAAAACCAAGCGCAGCAACTCAGCCATTGCTCTCAGTGGCCAAGAGGAGCTACTGTCATACTAGAGCTAGTGGCCTGTCCACAGGCACAACAGCACATGCCTGTGTATCTCAGGATGCACTACGGTACCAAAGACGGGAACTGAAAGAGACACGAGGAGGGTTATGTTAAAAGATGCTTACAGGAAGGCAGGCTGTCGCTGCTTATTGAGAAGGAGGTAACTGGGTGGCACTTCAATGCATGCACTGCCTGATGAACTAGTTCGTGAATAGGCTGAAGACGTTACAAAAGTCCTAAGAAGATCTAAAGTAAGGCTCCTGTGGGTGTGCATCCTTCAYACCTCTCTCCAATGAGATCGCCTGCATCCCCCATATATGCAGGGGATGTGACTGCACAGGGAAGGCGGCATCAGGYTCAAGGGCATTAAGGCTGACACCGAGTACACCAAAACACAGACCAGCTCTTGTGCATAGGCCAGTAGATACAATTATCACAGGTACCAGGGATAAACAGGCTCGGGCTGAGCTCAGGTCGAACATGTACTGAAAATGCTGTTTGTGGACTGAGCAGGGCTGCACCGTGAACACGAACCCGCACAAACAGCCAGCGACCCATCCYGCCGGACAAGCTGACACGGAGCGAAAGCCCGCACGCCCCAGAATAGATGAGTCACAGTTAACACTGCCCATCCACTTGTCTTTAGGAGCAGAGCCTCGCTCCCCAGTCACCYCAGCACAGCGGGGCTCCGCCGCACAGCGGGCTCGGCTGCCAGCAGCGGGATGCCGGGCTGGAACCGCTGCGCCGGGCCGGTCCCGCCGGGCAGGGCTGCACCTCCGAGCGCGATCCCCGCTCCGCCGCTGCCGCCGGGGGCCGGGGAGGGCCCGGGGACACGCCCGAAGGCACGGCCGCCCCGAGCTCACCTGCACGGGCATCATTCCCCGGCCCGCCCCGCTCCGCACCTCACCTCCTTCCTGCGGCTGGGCGCGCCCGGTCGGGTGAGCAGCGCCGTCTCCTCGCAGACCACGGCCACATCCTCCACGAAGACACAGTCGGGGAGGCTCTCGTCGGCCGGCAGCTCCAGCACCTGCAGCCCCAGCTTGCCCCGCAGCACACCCACGTACAGCTGATGCTCCCTCTCCGCGCGGGCGAAGTCCACCTCGGGGCCCGCCGTGCTGCGCAGAGCCTGCCGGCAGAGCGACTCGGGCAGCGCCCGCACCACGGCGTGCGTGCAGCGCCCGAAGGCGGCGGGGCCGCCGCCCAGCCCGGCCATGCTGCGCGGCGGGGACGGCGGAGGGGGACGAGGGGGACGCGAGGGACGCGCGGCCGCCGCCGGCGCTGGCAGCGGAGAAAGCGCCGCCCGCGGCCCGGCCGCGCCCCATTGGCTCCCCACCAGGCACATTTCCATGGGGCCGCCGCCGCGCGCGCCCCCATTGGCTGGCGGTGGCGGCCGCGCCTCGCCATTGGCCGCCCCCCGCGCGGCGCTGCTTACCTGTGCGGGCGGGCCSSGCGGCGCGCGCTCCGGGTGCTCCGCCGGGTCTGAGGGGCTCCGGGGTCTGAGGGGCTCCGCTGCCCAATTCCGTGAGTCCCGTGCAAAGACACAACCGCGCTGACGGCGTTCTAACCCCCGTGCCCGGTCACATTCTTACACCCGTTCCAGCTGGGGTCGGCAGGGGGAAGGTGGGTGACCCTCCTGCTTGGGGGAGCGTTGCCTTGGCCACCTGCGAGCGCTTTGCCGCTGCCTACTCCTTCCCTGATSGCAGAGCTGGAGGCCAGGCTGTTCACTGGGTGACCAAAGGAAGAATATGCCATGACAAGGGCAGTTCCAAATAAAAATCCTAAGGAAATAAGCMCAGCCTAATTAATCTCTTGTCATGGCTTTCTATCGGCCATGCCTTTCCACCTGCTCCCATGCCTTCACACTCCAGATTTCCACCTCTGTGGGGTAGGAGGGACACCGGTGATCTGCTCCACCTGTGCCTCAGGGACTGAAATAAAGAGGATTTAATACACTTTTCCCTAAAACAAGCATTTATTTCCCCAGGTTTCATTTTCCCCACGTTTTACCCTGACTGGAGCTTATCCTGGAGGAGGGCCAGCCCTTTCCAGAGCATCTCTGTCTCCCAGGCAGTAGGCAAATGAGGCTTTGTGCCAGACCTCACTCCATATGCAGCATCCACAGCRCCAGTTCTCTCCTGCTGCTGCTCCCAAGCCTCCCATGTATCTCCGAGATGTGTCCACACCAGAGCAGACAGGAAGAGAGGAGGAATATGAATTTTCCTTCCAGCTCTGCTTTTACTGGCGTGGCTTTTTGAAGTGTCACTCTGGTCATGGAGGGGACCCCACTAGCACACATCTCTGTGCCCCTTCAGTGCTCAGATAAAACCCAGGCAGCTGCCTTGGCCATGCTGTCACAGATATCTGCAGATATTCAGCACTTGGAAATGTGATTAGTGAATAGCCTGAAAGAAATACCAAAGTGTGTTTCTAAAATGGCAGCTCACTAGACTTTCATTTGCATTTTTTACATGTTCTCCAAATATCATCTAAAGATTGCTTTTAATTAATGTGCATAGGCTCAGTTATTTGAATAATGGTCCTTCACTGAATAATGTGCACACATTACTTTTCTGAAACAAATGGACAGGTAATTGAGTTGCTATCATGTAGGACATTTCAAATTCTTGAAAAACCACTACAAGTGGTCTCTGATATAATGTGTAATCCATCCACCATCGTTAAAGCCTATTTGGATTTATTACAGATTTGATACATGGCAATTGGCAGAGTTTGTTTTTCTTTTAGTTAGCATTATTTTTAGCAGAAGAAAAAGTGCTACTATCCAGTAAGTAAAGAACTTGCCAGGGTTTCTATCGTAAAAGGTATTGAAAATAGTTTTCTGGTAGCCAATGGATTGGAAAGTTATAGTCAATACAGATTTTTTTTTACATCTACAATCACCTTATGAATATGTAAGACATGACAATTTTTATATCTCACTGAAATTACAGGATCTGAGTTGATGCTAGGTGGTGATCTCATATGCACATGACATGCTCACTAGGAYAGTGCTTGCCCCAGGGGCACCATCACCAGCCCAGCTCAGGTGGCCACAGCTGCTTGCTGGGAGCTGGTCACTTCTGACAGCTTCTCAATACCTTCATGGGAGACACAGCTGGAGGAAGGAGAATGTCTTTGTGAGACACAGTGCTATGAGACACTGTGCGCTACGCACACAACTGTGCTGGAAACACGCATCATTAGCTGTTTAAACAAGTTTCGGAACTAACAACTRCAGTAAAAAAAGTCATCTGTGTTCCCATAAATGTATGAAATGGTGCAKTTAAATACAAATTAAAATCTATCTTCTGATGCTGATTATTGTTCTATTATTTATGGTGAAGAGAAAGGCATCATTAACAATCYAGGAACAGATGCACCCAGAGCAATATTGTGCATGTTTATAATAAGATTATCAAAATATCAGTTTACTCACAAATTAACATTACAAACTAGAGTGTGTTCACATAGTCTTATGGGAGTGATTTTAAAATTCATCATATGCAGTAATGCAAAATAGGTTGGCTACAGGCATCAACAGAGTATTTAAATATTGTCTACTTTGTCCAGTATTTTACTGTAACTATGTCCTGTTGGAGAGACTAGTATAAAAGAGCAAAGCTGCCCCCCCGCAAAGGAAAAAGCTGTGTCACACTATGGAAGTCATGCAGAACAATGAAAACTATGCTCCTAATTGAATAGGGACTGCAGACTGCTTAAGCAGTATCACAGAAAGCTGCATTTGGAAAGGARAAAATGCTTCATACAAAGGAGGATGCAAATCCAGTGTGACTGACAYTGCACAGAGTCATCTGCTGGCAGTGACAGTAAGAAGAAAATTACTTTGCCAAACGTACTTGAGGGTCCATATGTGACCAGTGCATTCGCTTTCAGGAGAGAGGAACAGATATTGATAGAGAAGACATGGTTTAAAAGTTATGGCAGAAATGTATTGATCCCCAGAGTGAAATCTTATCCATTTGATTAAAAAAAAAAAGAAAAAAAAAGTAGCATATCAATGAGTTGGGTTTTTTTTCTTTCRTAGCTACAACTTGAAAACAGTCTGCAGCTATGTAAAAAATTACCACAAAGATGAAGGCAGTAATTTCCACAAGGTAGAAGGCAAACAACAGTCTTAAATTGTATCAAGGAAAAGCACAGAAAGCTTTCTAACAAAAAAAAAAGAGCAGAGAAAAAGATTGCCTGGTAAAAATGCACAGCCTCTATACCAGGTGATTTTAAGACAAAGAAATATCTGCCAGGAGCAGAAAGCCAGAGATGGGGAAGAAGGGTGGACAAGGAGAGGATCCTTCCTATGAGTCCTATGGTCCAATTATTATTTTTGCACTGGATACTATTGTTTTAGTGGAAACAGCCATGTAGTGATGAGTCTAACATGCCCAGCAGCAAATGCACAACTTTTATGTGGGTCACTGAAGGTCAGAGATGGCTACTGCTGTTGAAGTTTTTGTGACCATGACAAAGGAGAATTTGGATCACTACTGAATACGAACACATACCACACAAGTGATTGCTCAGGCGTGATAGGCAGCTGCAAAGTTGGAGAACATTTCCCATTGCTTGCAAATGMTGGAACAGCACTGCTCTCCCTAAAGCCTTTATGGATATCTCTCACACTATTCTGGAAATGCTACTTGAAACTCCAGAGAGTGAAAAGCCAGGACAAGACAGCAACTGAGCCATTCAGTCACCAATACATCCCTCTGTGACAAAGGGAATCTGCACCAGAAAGATGGAGAATACTGAATTTCACTTTTGAAAAGGAATGCAAGTTCAAGTWATTTCTTCAGCTTAATAAAAAACTGCAACTACTGCACGGCAAAATGCCATTTTTAACTTTGATCTGCAGGAAAAGCTCTGATTATGATCAATGGATCATTCTCTWAGAAGAGGTACATGATCAGGTCTTACAGCCATAGAAGAGAAAAATGTTACTTTAATCATGCCTTATATACACAAACAGYGACTCAAAAGGGTTTTCACCTAGATAGTTGCCAGAAATTTTCTCTTTCTGCTCTTCTACTGTAAAGTAAAAAGTCACAGTGACTCAGCAAAGCAATATTTTTACTAAATAATTAAGAATCTGGGCTGCTCATTTAGAGGAGAGCTGAAGCCTTTAGGCAACAAGTCACTTCACTCCACTGCATGGACAAGCTCCCAAGTGCTTTTACATTTCCAAATGAACAGATTTTGTTCATCCTCCATTCTTTACATAACAGATCACTTCTAGAAGAAGAGACCAACTTCTTCTGGATGGCATAAATCARCAGGTCATCTGCCAGCCTGTAGAGAAATCTTTTTGGGGAACAGCATTTTCCCTTGCCTGCTTTGAACCTGTGCTATCTCAGAGTCTTACCGGGTTCAGATAAATTCTATATAGAGTTGGTTTGGGGAAACACAATATTTGTTTTGTCTGGCATGGGATAATGATCTGGGCGTTTCCACAGCTGGCATTTTGCATCCTGCAGAGAAAGAGGAATTCCCGTGGACTGACAGCTACGCAGTTGTTGGGAGACAAAGCTGTCAAAGGGTGRTTCTTTGCAAGTCAGCTTTGGCAGCATTGTTGCCGTGACACATGGCACCAAGCAGCCTGGACAACACGCAGAGGCACAGGGCATTCCTCACATTTGTAGTCTTCCCACATGTTTTGTTCAATAGATTGCAGTATTGTCTACAACCAGAATCAACTTCTGGATTTACTTGGCTGAGCAAACAGATCACTGAGGCGAGAGCTGTGGGATTCTGACTGTTTACCTTTTGTGCTCYCATCTCCTCACCTTCACCATGCCTTATGGTCTCTTTTACCCTTCTTTCTCTGAAGGAGAAAAGTCACTTGTTTAATTCTTAAAAAAGCATGGGTCAGGTGCCACAGGTATGACCATGATGAAAAATGAGATTAGTAGTCTGGAAGTTTCTGCTGAATTACACAAGTTAACAGATCTCTTRCGGAAAATGATAGAAATGCCTTATTTGTGTCCCTGATGGACAGATTTCCCAGAAATATGCCAGAAATGCTATTYCAGCTAAGAGGAGACAGAGCTAGGGTAAGTGCCTTGCAAATGGTTCTTGTTGTGACTCCAACACAACAATAAAACTATTTCTGCTATCAAATTAGGCAAGGGAAAATGTTATCACACAGCATTTTTAATGAAGTATGCTGTTTTATCAACTTGGCAAAAAGCATCACCTCTAGCAGTAGCAGGGGAAATGGTTCATGGCATTCACACTTAAGCAGCTACTGTTCAATTGTCTCATGAAT